AAAAAAAGAAAAGAAAAGAAAAATCTGATTTTTGTTTTCACATACAACCTATTTGACATACTGATTTCTTTAGGGGGAAAATTTCTTTCAATAATAGATTAATCCAAATGTAATTGATTGTAGTTAGCAAATATAAAAAGCCACATAAATGCCAAATTAGCCATCAATTTAACAAATTAAAGCAAACTAATTAGTATAGTGGTCATGTTTAACAAATTAAGGACTAAAATAAAATTTCAACCAATTTGGAGGCAACTAATCAGCAAATCTACAATTTAATACCAAAGAAGGCTCCGCCTGTTCTACACTACACAAATAATTCAGATTACCAAATAACCAAATTAATTTAAGCCTTCTAACCCTAGATATTACTGAAATAATCCAACTTTTACTTGAAAATAGAATGAAAGGGGGCATAATGGCTCACACCTATAATCCTAGCACTCTAGGAGAGGTGGGTGGATTGCTTGAGCTCACGAGTTCAAGACCAGCCTTAGCAAAAAGTGAGACCTCCCCCACCCCCACCCCATCTCTACTAAAAATAGAAAAACCGAGGCAAGAAAATCGCTTGAACCTAAGAATTGAAGGTTGCTGTGAGCTATGACACTACAGCACTCTACCCTGGATGACAGCTTGAGACTCTGTCTCAAAAAAGAAAATAGAACTAAAGGGAAATTTAAATTATTTTTGCTCACTTTAAATGATTAAATATTGAATATTACAATTAAAAACTAAGGACTTTATGGATTCTGAAAATTTTAGATTTTGAACAGCCAGTTCACAGATCTTAGAGTTTTTAAATGATTCAAGACAATAATTTATTAAATCTTAATATAGCCATAGTTTTATTAGGTACTTGATGACTTTCTTCTCAGAGGTCCTTGTTCCCTGTAACATGGTAGGTGCACGTCGGATATGGCCCCTGCTTGCCTCTCCAGCTTTCTGTCCTTTTTCTGAGTCTCACTCCTCTTTCAGTTCCACTATATGCTTGGTTCTCTCTCAGCTGGAGAACTTTTGCTGAGGGACTCATCCTACCTAAACTGCTCTCTGTTTTTTACATCCTCCCACCCTCTAGACCAGTGATTTTCTTTTCTTTCTTTTCTTTTTTCTTTTTGAGACATAGTCTCACTATGTCACCCTCTGTAGAGAGCTGTGGTGTCACAGCTCACAGCAACCTCAAACTCTTGGGCTTAAGCAGTTCTCTTGCCTCAGTCTCCCAGTAGCTGAGACTACAGGCACCTGCCACATTGCCCAGCTGCTTTTTGTTGCAGTTGTCGTTGTTTAGCTGGCCCTGGCCAGGTTGAACCTGCCAGCTTCTAGCTTCCACTGTGTTACGGGCGCCAGCTGAGCCTAGACCAGTGATTTTTCAACCCATGTGCTGTGCGAGGATCTTAGGTGTGCTGCAAAAATTTTTAAAGATTATTAATTAAATTATTTTCTTTTTTTCTTCTTCTTCTT